CTACTACTATGAGTGTTTTGTTCTGTTGCCCAGTTACTGCATTTATGTTCAGTAGATCAATAAGCAAATCCAACTTCCCACTAGTCAAGTCTGCCAAATTGTGCTCCGTTAAAGGAGAGAAAAAAATTGCAATGTCCAAGTTAAACAGACAACTCTGGCTGAAGAGAGCGCTACGATCGGGAAGGCTTGAGCAATGGGAGCAGGTAGTGCTACTGGTACCTACAGCTAACTTAACACTTCCTCACCGCACTGACAAAGCTGGCCACCATGAATACAAGTCCAAACACTCCACCACTTTTTTCCTCTTGTGAATGAAAAACCACAATGGGTACCTTTGACTATCATCTTCCTACTGTTTTTATTTTTTATTTTATTTTTTAAATAAAGTTGCTCTAAATGAAAACAATTGGATTTTCAGTTGGAAACATACAATCTGGAAGTTGGAGCCTATTTTCATTTAAAATATCAGTATTAATTAAAAAATTGCTCAGGTGTTACTGAAGTTGCATTTTTCTCAGAAAAAAACAAGTCTGGGGAAAGAAATATTACTTTATTTTATCTGTATCTGTTTTCTATTTTATCTGTATTTTATCTATACTTTTTATGACTGTCCACAAACTTTTACTCTACTCAGTAGACCATGTTTTTCTAAGCAGCACAGGCGCTTAGACCAATGCAGCTGTGCTTGCTTCACACAAAGCAGAACACCTTTACAGATGGCTGCTTCAAATGCTGATGCAGCACAGGATTATATCCTAATGCAGAAAGCATAGAAAAAAAAATCATTTGTATCATCTCCTGAGCTTTATTGCATAAAGTCTGAATCAGTCATTTCCAAAATCGCACTTTAGAAAAACCTGATCAGCACCTACCTTGGTTCATCAGAATCAGGCTCCCAGCCAGCAGGGCCACACAGTTGGTTGGCTGGTGGTTGTGGAGGTACTGGAAACCCCATCCACGTCTGTACGATGTTTCATACATGTACCCAGAGGCGTTGGCAATCACCTCAAGAAATCTCTCCTGTTGAGTCTTGCTGAGATAGCTGTACAAGAAGTCATAAGCAGTGGCAAAGCCAACTAAGGAGTGGGCAAGAGGAACCTCATCCCACGGGGCATCCTTCACTAGCCTGTCGATAAAGAAAGATGTCAGTTAATTGAGCTCCACTTTTCTTTCTTTCTTTCTCTCTCTCATCTCTTGTCCTGTCAGTACGTTTTGTGTATAACAATGTCTCTGACATTAGACAACTCATCCTGAATTTTAACACAGGAGTGAGCTACTTAAGTCTGGGAGACAATTTTATTCTTTCCCAAGCACGGAAACTTTTAACTTTCCAAGCTCAATAGTTTCATTAGGCTAAGTCTTTAAATACTAAAACAGTGCTTGTGATATTCTAGGTTTTACTGGGAGAAATAAATATGAAAAAAGGAATCTATTATCTAAAGCAAGATTAAAAACATTTTTGTGAGAAAGTAATAATTCATAATTTATAAGCCTCCAAAAAATTATAACATTCTTTTTCCAGAGGACCTTAATTTGACAATAACATCCTGAGTGGTGTCTATCATAAATTTTCCTCAAAGAAAGTTTAATAAAATAGTTTCCAATGGTGTTTCTTAATTTCACAAATGAATTCAAGGATAGAAGTGGAAACGAGAAAATTTATTTTCATAAGTACAGTTCAAATTTGCATACTTAATAGAATTAAAAACAGCATTACCATAAAAAGAGATAAAAGGCTGCTACTCAAAATTATTTTCTAAGAACTACCTGCTTGTATCAGAAGATTAAGATGAGCTTAGCAAAATAGTGAATTTATAACAAGAAAAGTCCTACTGAGTGGGGCAGGTAGCACAGAACAAATATTTCTTTAAACCAAGAGAATATTGAGTATCAGAGCTTTTAATTTTGCACCGCTGAGAGCATACTCAGGCCATAGTTCTATAGAATAGAAAATGTGAAGGAATATATACTGAAAAAAAACTCAATTTCATAGAATAAATTAAATTGTTTTCATGTTTAGTCTCTTTATTAATTCAGTGAGTAACTCTTCAGGCACTTTGCCACACATTTTCATTATAGAAATTAATTTTAAGTTGTTGGGATGACATAGTGACCTCTAGCAATCAGAGAAAACCGTGTAGTACCCCTGGAGATATGCAACTTCCAACCTCTACTACTCTGTGATTCTATAAATATGATTTCATCTTAGGTTTGTTTAAGCAGCAGAGTAAAGAAACAAATGAGGAAAAAAATACCAGGAAAGCAAGAGTTAAAAAGAAATCCTCATCTGCAGTGGGGTCATCTACTTGCATTGAAAATTTGTCAATGAATCACTTAGAAACTATGAATCAGCTTAGTGCACTGCAACTGTGGTAAAATATAAGATATATGAATGAGAAAAATGACATTTAGTTTTTATGTCAGCACGTCTAACAACAGTACAAGAACTCAAATGAACTTGGCATGTCACACTGGTATGTAAGGAAAGCTGCTGTAGCCTTTCTGGTTAGCTGCATTTCCAATAGTTGGAAGCATTTACCTTCTCTCAGCTTAGATTCAGCCTTCTGCTGAATGAAATTATGTATTCATTTCCACTCGTTCTCATCAATTTTAAGCTAAATACATGAGTGAATATAGCATTTACTTGTGCAGCAAGATGTGACCTTTTGTTGAACCAGGGTTTTTACTGACTAGATTATTTTCCTTGCACCACTTTGTTTATTTATTGGTCAATGGCAGACATTAATGGGAAAAGGAATGATTAAAAATAAAGACTAAGGTGGAATAAAAAATAATTGTTAAAGTTTTGGGAGAAAAAGTTCTATAAATTTGTTATTGATTGCCAAATCCACATTACATTCTCTGGAGCCTCTGTTACAAACATTTCTCTGTTATATTTTTCCATCCAACCTTTAAATTTATCAGTTAAGGCTTCTGGATGGGTACAGAAAAACCGCTTATTCATATTTTGGTTAACTGTTGTGGGAGAAAAAAAACACAGACTTGTAAGCCAAACACTGACATACTTTACATGGAAGCTCATTATTTCCATTTGACAATGGCAAAAAATTCCAGATAAATGTGAAGAAAACCTAAGTAAATTAGGCAGGAAACTCTTGCTATTCTTTAGGCATCACGACACCACAAATATTCAAAACTAATTTAACTGGATATTTATCAATCTTAGGTCAGTCTCTGCAACTCTTTTTGCTTTTTCTGATTTTATTATCATTGAAGAAGCTCTTAACATGTTATTAGTCATAAACATTCATAAAAATAAAATTATAACCTACTCTGCTGTATGGAAATCCCTGGCATTTTCGTGACTGTCAGCAAGCCCTTGAAACATGAACATACTTTTGAACTACTGTATCATAAACTTTATTTTTATTTTACTTTCCACTAAATTTTTGAACGTTCAGAACTCAAATTCAGCTCAGATGGGTACAGGGAACATCACTTTAGAGGACTGTGTCACTTAGTCTGGCACAGCTAAAATGTACTTGAGGCTACATTATACATTTTTAAAAAAGACAGCAATGACCGTATTTGAGTTAATTTAAAATGCTTAATTCAGAGTTAAGTATCCTTATAGCAACCTTACAAGTTGCTAACTGGAATGGCTTAAAAATTATTTGATGGTTCTTACCTTGCTTCAACTGAAATGGGATATGACATTGGATTGATTTCATTGTTAAGATGTTAAAATGTTAAGCTAGCTTCACATTTGTTTTTCTATGAAATTCTACATAAAACCCAACAGTGGAAGATATTATATAAATCTCTTTGTCTATCATTTCTAATAGAATGGAAAACATTTCTCTAATCCAAAAGCACTAAATTGACTGATTATGACTTCACTTAAATTTACTTTTTCAGCAGAAAATACATTCAGTGTAAAAGAGCTTAGGCTTCCTAAGCCTACACTCTGCCCAGAGTTACCTGCCCCAGGTTATACGATGTAATTTGGTAATTACTTCCCTCAAATTACAATTACGCTAAGTCTTACATGCAGTTTCATAGCAGAAATACACACAAGTACAAAAAAAATAACGATGAGGATTTAAAGCACCACCGTTTTGTGAGTATACAGAAAATCCAACCAACAGCTGCACTTAAAATGAAATTCCCTCAAAAGTAACAACTCTTTAACGGATATAAATCATTGCACCTCCATTACTACAATTTCAAAGGATCTAAGCAATGTCCAGTGAACAGTGTGTAAAATGACCCAGAAGAAGAATAGTCAAGTGGCAAAAGCATTAAATGCTTTTTTTTTTTTTTCCCCATCAAAATTATGTGCTCATCTTTCAAATGGATTGCCAGTGTCTGCTTAAGTAAAGAGCCTGGCTGGGAAACCATGAGAATGTGTGGCACCATAGATCTGCCCTGCATTGGAGCTGGGGAGAAACAGTTTCCAGGGCTACCCATTTACTATATTGTATTGAAATATTAAAGAAAGTCAGTATGTATTTACGCAGTTAAAGATGAGTAAAAACATACCAAAGATTTGCGATGGATCACAGCAATTTTCTTATCTTTTTGAGAGTAAAACTGAACATCAGATACTATGCACTTCAACTTAGCGATTAACTGCATTTGAAGAGCGCATGTAACTAGTTTTATCTCAACGCTGCATAATCTCTATTCTCTTCTAAATGTACCACATGTTACAGAAAAGAATCCACAAGGTTAGAGAAAGAATCAAAATAAATAAAATATCTATAACAAGTTTGGTGCAGATCAACTATTTAGTCAAAAGCACAAAGAATTTTAGCAAAGACACCTATTTCAAAAGTGCTAAAATACATTTTAAAAATCACAAAATCGTACATTCATCCCTATAGTTGATGACAAAAAAAAAAAAAACACAAAAAAACGAACAATCAAAAAAGTACCCCGATCTTGCACTTCACTTACACTTTATATACCTATAGCTATATTTAGAAAAGGAGCTTATTTGGAAACTTGAAATGTTTTTTTAAGAGAGATTGAGGAAGAGTGGATGTGCTGCCTGATGAGTGAACTCCATAAACATCCAAAACTACTTGTATCATTTTGCATCAAGAACTGATGTCTGGAAAAGTACTGAGAACAAATACATGCCTGAGAGGTTCTTTGAGTTTTCTTAGTTTTTGCTACATAAAACATTTTTTGTTACTTTATTTTAGTAAGTGAGAGTTTGGTATAAATCCTCCATGAATAAATTGTGAAGAAATAAACCTTTGTGAATAATATGGTTTTCTTAAATGTTTGGAGAATTTTATCATGGTGAAAAATGGTGTCCGTTTTAGATTTACCACTTTCTAGTAAATGATGAATCCAAATGGGGAATATGTTGGGAATCAGTTCTTCACTCATCAGTATATGATGTAACAAATGTACTGCTTTGTCCAAAATTCTGTGCACATACCACTTTTAAACACTTTAATAGGATTTTTATCATCATCTGTAGGGATGCATGTACGGTTTTGTGATTTTTAAAATATCTTTTAGCACTTTTGAAATAGCTGCCTTTCCTAAACACTTTAATAGGATTGCATGCTTTAAATAAATATGTAAGTGTAAATTAGTAAATAAATGTATATGCACTATACATATGTTAAGATAGGAAGAAAGATAGAAAGATCAATAGTCTCTCCCCTTGAAACAGCAATATATATGTTATATATACACACACACACAAACGTATATATTTGTCGTAAGATCACCTCAATGTCTTTCTTGAGAACATTACTATTCTTTCAGTAGAAAGTTTTACATAGTTTTCCCTTATTTTTCTCTAAGAGCTGCTTTTCTTCTGACACTAGAATACAATAACAGTGCTAGCATTTCTTAAAGGAATAATAGCAAGAGGAGGAGAAATAATCACTATCTATCTGCCCCGTTTAAGGCAGGATTTAAATCATACTCTCCCTTCAGTGAATTTCTGGCTCATAGTTTATGGGATATTTAGAATTGCCTTTTCTCAGCTTTGCATTCAATTTTTAAATACACATTGAAGTAAACAGGAAATTACATCTAACCTGAGAAACAGAATACCCCCTTGGGCAGCTTGATATCTGATTTCCAGAGTCTATGTCAATAAGACATATGTCGTCACTGACTGTAAAATGAAACATGAAG